ACAATATTTGGTTGATAACAAAATCCCCTTTAGGTGTAACTAAATAACAAAATCCTCCTACAGTTAGAGAAATAACAAAAATCCTCTTACTATTAATTATTTGGTATAAAAATAAATGACAATGGGCAGTTAATCAAAGATTCTAATAAACAATTTTGAAGTTTTTAGTATAAAAAAAATGAGGAAGTGTGGCCTGAACATGTGATGAGTAGCAATATAAAATAAACTGAATACTTAGGGAGAATCGGACTGGCAACCACCTGATAGAATATTTATTCATAGTAATGTATAATTATTTTAGAAATTAATATTATTAATAGAATACTAGAATGATATTTTATATAAGAGCTTAGTCATAATGGTTAGACTTATGATTTGTTTGTACAGTACCAGTTCTTATGGGCACATTCCAGGAAACTGCAGCAACAAGTTATTCAACGGTAGTTTTCGTGTTAGTTTCCCCTCAGACTTCACTTTATATTATTCCAAGGTGGTGTTCCACTCAGGCTTTTTGTCTATAAAGGTTAATCACAATCTGCAGTCCATTCACTTCATAACACCAAACTTTTTGAGCCCTAACCATGAACTGGAAAATCGATTTACGCTTTCTTCTTCCACCTTTCCTCAATCTTCTCCTTATTTTACTCTACAACAACTCTCCTTCAACAAACCAATTAGCTTACATTGATCTATTTCACAAAGAAGACGACGATGATAATCACTTTTTCTTGTTCATCCTGGCCTTGCTTTCTCTTCTCGTCGCCACTCTCTTCTTTCTACTCACCTCCATCAAACTCCATATACATGTTTTGACATACCCACCTGTTTTCAAGTTCGGCGACTTCTCAGGGCCACTGGCTCTGACATTACTTGCCTCACTCCTCCTTCGTCCCTTACTCTTCTTCATCACTTACTTAATTTGCATAGTCATTTCGCGGCCCTCAGTCGAGCTTTCTCCATGGACATCCTCATGGCGAGCAGAGCCTGCGAACAAAAAGTGAGTTAAAATGAAAATGGCGGACAAACTCAAGAACAGTTCGTTTACCTTGCTTAGATGCTGGAACGACGTGGTCATCAGGTCGTCGCCCGTATCGACGAACTCATCATATGACTCCGATAGTCCACACTCAAGTATAGAGTAGACTATCAGCTGCAGGTATTCGGGCAGGTTCCCCAACGAATCCAGCACTGGTGTGTCCTTCGCCTTGTCGGCAGCAACCGTCTTAACCGCGGGTTCCTTGCCTGACCTCCTTCCGGTGCCCCGCCGCGAACTCAGAGGTTCAACCTCTGATTCAGTCTCTGACTCGTTGGCCTGAATTTGCTTCCTTTTCTTTGATCGCTGGGCCGGAGCCTTCCGCCTCAGACGAGCAGGCAATGTCTAAGCGACTTGTTCTGTCCTGGTCGTTTCCTCCACATGACGGGGCTGGGAAGGCGCTGCAATTCACACTGGTTGCGCCGCTGTGGGGCGAGCAGCTTCGGCCTCCCTAGCTCTCCTCGATCGAGGGAAGTTAAATGGCGCTCGCAGGGGCTGCTCGGATTCTTTCAGAGGCATGGTTGCTGCATGCGAGTACGTTAGTAACTAAACAAAAATTAGTCTATGACTAGAAGGGAATCAGTGTAACTTACACTCTGGGGACTCTAAAGACGTGTTGTTGCTGAAAAAACTGTACTTCCGTAAGTTCGCGGTCATCACGAGCTTCCTCACATCCCGACTTTCTTCAGGGAGAACCCCAAAAGACACGATCCTATCCGGGTTGGTGAGCAGATCTAGGCTGGTCGTCTTGTTAACTGCAAAAGAATGCAGGTCGTTAGAAAAAGGACTCGCACAGCTAATGAATCTAGCGAAGAAGAACCTACTTGGTTTCTGAAAGCGACAATAGCCGTCGTAGCAGAAGAAGAAGAACTGCATCTCATAGGCCCCCACGTTGCTAGGATAGCTATGTATCCCTTCGACGATGGTAGATCGCTGAGACAAGTAATAGGAGTCTTTGTCCTTACTCCTTTTGAGGAAATACGAACAGTCGAGGTCCACAGCTGCTAGCTCGCCTAAGCCGCTCTCACGACACGCGATGTACATCGCAACAACGATGACATACGCGTTTGGCATTAATTGCATTGGTGCGATCCCGAAGTGATCCAAGACCAACCTAATAAAAGGGTGGAGAGGAATCATCCCCCCACCCTTGAAGATCTCTTCGGAGATCGCAGCCAGGCCGTCAGAAGGATGCCGCGACGACCGGGTGGCATCGAGGAACACCTCCGTGCGGACGTCGAACTGTCTCTTTATCCTCTCGAACTTTTCTCAGGTGAGAACCGAGAAGACCTCAAGGGATTCGTCCATGGGAACATCCCGCGAAGACGAACCGGCTCCTTCTTCGGATCTGGATGCTGAGGGTTCCATTCCAGAGTCTGCAACACCGACAAACAGAAGGTCATTTTAGCCATTGTACGTCGCCCCGTATGGCGGCTTGGAGCAAATTCCCTATAACCTAACTGTGGCTCGAGTCGCCATTCATGGCAAGAATCCAACTTCGGCATCGCGTCTCTGACAAAACATCAGATGACCCAACGCCATTGCATCGCAAACAAAAAAAAAAAAGGAACAAGAACAAAAAACCCTTACCTTTTGGGGGATGTGATCGTGAACGGTTCTTGCTTCAGGTGTCAGAGAAATGTCAATCGGAAAAGAAAGGCTTCCGGTTTGCAGAGAGTTTTCGCTCGAGGCAAAAGGAATTATGGTGGCCTCATCTGAAAAATCTGGGTTTTTATATGGACTACGAACCGGCGTTTACCACTCCTCAGAATCAAAATGACGCCTTTCTCTCTCTCCGCATTAAATGCGCCCCACGCCGCATTTATTGTTGTGATGAGAGTTTTCGTTTCGGGCGTGTCATGCAATTAATGCTCTGCCAAAGCAATAACGCGTCAGCACACAATGCATTTAATGCGTGTGGCAGACACCTGACACACGCAGAGCGCCTGTCAACGCAGAAACGACCTCATTAAATCTCCATCTCTAAGGCACGGTAAGAAATGTCCGATGAACTCAGGACGCTTGGGCGATGGCTGCTAGGTCGTTCAGACAAGGTTTGCGCGAGGTCATGTTCGCAAAAGGTCCTATCCCGAGCTTTTTTCATTCAGATCAGAATGGTCAGAACCTCCAATCGCGGCATGACTTAGTTTCCAAGGTTTGATCCTCAAGCCTTAAAAACTAGGGGACTTCTGTTATGCCTGGGAAATCAAGGGCTGACGTGAGAAATCACGTGTTGGGGTGTGACCTGCTCCCGTCAGAATGGTAAGCACATGTCAAGCCTGCAAGACGCCGTGGAGCTCCCACGTGTCCATTCCCTGCTCCAAATCGCGTGAAATCAGCTTGGAAGGTGGGCAATGTGACATAAAGCCGGATTTAGCCCTGACATTCACACCAACCCACGGATTTAATGATGATTACCTGCACTCATCTCACTATAAAAAAGGAAAGACGCATTCATTGAGGGGATTCGACCTTTTTACACTCTGAATTAGCTTTCTCTCTCCTTTGTATCTTTGTATTTACTTTTGCTAATCATTTGTAAGTCAGTCCGCTGTTGCGACCTGACCCACAATACTAATACAACAATCAGTGGACGTAGGACTTGCTACCTTAGCATCCGAACCACTTTAAAAAACTCTCATTATTGCATTTACTCTACATGTTATCCATAATCACATGTGTCTCTTGGCCAACCAACGTTACACACGTGTCAATTAGTTGGTGTCTAAATGTCGCATCAACAACGGTAAATATGAAAGAACCCACCACAACTGCGATGGGTAAATACAGCTTCAATCCCGCACACTGAATCTGCCCTTAATAGGCCATTAAAGCACGTTTATTTCCTAAGGGCAATATAACACTATATAGGATTATCTTGTTCCCTTATTTGTCAAGATGTAAATATACGATATTAGTTGATTTGATATGAGTCCATTCATGGTTTCTATTATTAAATTAATGGACTATTTTATCCTTAGGACCATAATATCCTTGAACTTAAAAAAAATTATCCAAGACTGGTAGTCGAATCTGGCCAACATCGCCAACGATCGGGCGTCGACCACCACCACCCGCTGTCGGACGCTGATGTCGAAACGACCCACGATCGACCGTATTTGGCCAGTCATGCACCGATCTAACCGTTTCTGATTAGAACTAATTTGGCTATTTTCGGCCAAATCCACACACCTGACCATTTTTACAGAATATATCAATTCATACCAAATTGTCTTTTATACCTACAAACCAAATTCTTTATTTCACACAACTGTTTAAAATCAAAGGTATTTTATTTCTATGTCATGCAATACAAGTACGATGCAGCTTGGATTATTTTAATGTAAAGACAACTATTATTAAACTAATACAAAATAGACTCCTTTTGTTCAGGTCAAATGCCAAGGGTTGATTTCTAAAAGATGATTTAAAAGAGTTGTTAATATTTTATTTCTTATGAATAAATATTTAAAATAACCTTCCATTTTTTTTTTAATTAATAAATAATTAAAACAACAATTTTTTTTTTTATTTTGATCTTAATAAAAAAATAGTAAATAATAAATTCATTTTTATCTATTATTTTCTATAAATATATAATCAAACATTAATTCCTTTTTTATTCTGATTTTCATAAACAAATGATTAAAAATTATTCATTCCTTATTTTCATTTTATATTTATATAAAATAAATAAGATAATTGATTTAATTATTCTTTTTTTGTTTTATAAATAAAATCAGCAGTAATATATTTGTAACAACCAACTCATTATTCCAAGACTCCAATTTTTTAAGTGAAGTTAATTCATTTTCAATGATGAAGTAATATATTCGAACGCATTCTTACTTCTTACCCTCGCTATTTGGAGTGGGTAAAAGACAAATAAATATCTTGAAAGTGAATTATTCTCAGTAAAATATCATTTCAACTCAATAAGTGAAATCAAAAGATTTTTTTTTCCTCTTTATATTCTTTGACATTTCCATGAGTTTTTTTCTGCGGAAGATCCTTTGAGGCATAAAAGTGCAGCATCATAAGCTCTAGCTGCGGCTTCAGGTGTAGAATAAGAGCCCAACCATATTCTTGTTTTCTGATTTGGTGATCTAATCTCTGACACCCATGAACCCCAACTTCTCATTCTCACTTCCTTGTACTTCTTTTTCTTGCTTGATGATGATGTTGATGGCATTGCCTTAGATATTGGCTCCTGTTGGATCTTCTGCTCAGTCTTCACCATTGTTGTATAACATAAAGATCAACTACAGTAAAATCTATACAGCCAATTAGATCCATTTATTTTAAGAAAAACAAATATATATGTACATATATGATGATGAAATAACAACACAAGAATCAAAAGCAAAAATTACACTATATCCACTTGCATATTTGGTAATAGAGCTGACCTCAGGGCTGTCTGGTAGTATTTTCAAATTACAGCTAGCCAGGTTTTGTGGAGACCAATTAATATTTATGTTCAAAAACATCATAAATTGTTGAAACAAGATTAGTGTTTTCCACTGGAGAGAAAATGAAAGGTCTTAATTTTTTAATGTGACATTCTAAGTCTAAAGTTGCACACAAAATCATTGCATGACTTTTTGTTGAGACAGTTAATTTACATTACACCAACTTATAATACAGCTTGAAAGTGTAAAAAAATTTCTGAATTAAGGAAATTAAAGTTCCACTGTAACTTTTGAGGAAAAGGCAAAATGAATCTAGCATTCTGGAACTCATATGCACCAATCACAGACCAGACCAGCAAAGAAAGCTTAATTATTTATTATTTAAGTAGCTTGCTCTAGACTAATTTCCCTGACTTAAACAGCAACTCACAGGACAACCCACCCCAGTTAACACCCAACAAAGATATACATTAAACAAATCAAACTAAGAAAAATTGAAATGAATGGTAAATTATAGATTTATTTCACCATCTGGGCTCTGGTTATTTTTTCATCATATGTTCTATTTTTGGGTGATCATATCTTAAATTATATCCATATGATTATTTAATGGAGTTGAAGAGAGAGAAACATAGGATTCTTCCTCCCATGGGCAACGTCCAGGATCTCCAGTTGATGGTTAATAAATAGGATTCTTCCTCCCATGGGCAACTTCCAGGATCTCCAGTTGATGGTTAATAAATTAATATAAAACTTTAGGCTGTGGGCTGTGATACACAGAAGAAATTAATTGATTCACCAGGCCAAGGCCTGGGTCGGGGTCTTATTGAATGTAACATTAATAAATTTTAATATTACATTCAAGAGTCTTGATCTGAATGTAATATTAAAATTCTTCAATTGACATGAGCTTCCTGGCAGCTGCTGGAGTGAGAGACAAACATGGTGATATAAAATCTAGATGCTGACTTGCTTGAATTCCAAAAAGAGTATAAAATCTGTTGCACACCCCGAGTTTGCCCATATAAACATTCCCACCTTCACCTGCAAGTCTGCAACCCATTCACTTCACAACACCAAACTTTACTCTGCAACACACAGCCATAACCATGAACTGGAAAATCGATTTACGCTTTCTTCTTCCACTTCTCCTCTACCTTCTCCGTATTTTACTTAGCGACCAATTAACTTACATTGATCTATTTCACAAAGAGGGCAACGATGACAATGTCGACGATTACTTCTTATTAACCTCAGTGGCCCTGCTCTTTCTTTTCTGTGCCATTCTCGTCTTTCTACTCACCTCCATCAAACTTCCTATACATGTTTTGATATACCCACTTCTTGTCAAGTTCGGCGACTTTTCTTGGCCACTGACTCTGGCATTACTTGCCTCACTCCTCCTCTGTCGTCCATTACTCTTCTTCATTGCTTACTTAATTTGCATAGCCATTTCTCCTTGGTTTCAAAAGCTGGTAGAGATTGTGAAGCGGTTATGGCTATGGTTTTATCATGAGTTTCTTCAAGCCATTTCAGCCTTTACTGTAACTAGCATCAATCTACAACAACCGCCACTGCCGCCCATTGAAAGAGGAGAAGAAGAAGATGGCGATGACTTCATCGTTGCTGTTTTGCTCCAAGAAGTAACAGACGACTCTTCTGATATTGAGCTTGGGTTAAGTTGAGTTACGTGATACATTGTCTATTAAAACTCTGTTTTTCAGATTTTAAATATGAGATGATTAATTTTTTTTTTTTTTTTTTAAATTTTCGCTTAGTTTCCTAAGAAAAATATATCTGTTGGCATGATTAAATTTGGTAATTTCCTGTAATTTTTACTGTTTGTAAACATGATGAGCACTTTGGTTATATACTATTGGGACTTACATGTTGCTTATGAAATTAACAAGTCACATGATCAAAAGTTTATTATGATTTTTCAATTATCATGCAATGAGTTGCCGATCTTCTTGCGTGATCAGTGATGCATCAACAAAGAATAATATCTAATGAGTTAGTCATGATGTCCGGATAAACATAAGTTAGATCTTAAGTTTATAAACATCATTAAATAATTTTGCCATCGTGATTCGTGACAGAGGCAACATTAACACCCACGTATGGATTCCTTGTAGGATTGTTTTGTTGTTGTTGCAATATTGGTAACTTGAGGTGTATCCATGTTTTCAACTAGGGATGAACAAAAACGGGACCGGCGTCGGGACTATTTATGTTACCTCCCAATTTTTAACCCTAGATTATCAGGTGGTTTATGTGAAATTTAAGAGGCTACTTTTGCGCGAACATTTTCAAAAGATTTTTTATATAACTCAAAATTCTTTATTATAAAAAATATATCTATAAAAACAAAAATCCAATATACTCTTTATCTTTAAAATATAAATTAAAGAATGAGTTTAACTCTCCACATCTAGAAAGTCAAAATTTACTTACTTTTCTAATTTTAAATAATAACTTACAAATTTCTATGCATTTTATTTATTAATTTCCTCTCCTATTAAGTCTTTATCTTGAAAATAAAGATCATCTCTATTAAATTTAAAGAGTTTATTAAATTTAAATAAAAATTATATTCTTAATATCTAGAAATTAATGATTATCTTCAAAACATAATTGAAGATGCTCTAACTCCCAAATCTACAGGAGTTTATGAAACTTCTAACCGCCTCGGGCTTCTTTTTATCCCTTTAAAAATCATTAAGAATTGATGATTGTATTGGTTATAAAGACTTAATCAAATGCCACTGCTTTTTAATGTAAGGTCCTGTTAGTATTACATTCCAGTCAAACTCCATTTTTCTGAATAGTTTATGAAATTAAATAGACGGTTAAAATATATGACTTCTTTCCTTTTTTTTTTAATTAATTTAAAACTCATCCAATCTTGCTTTACAGCAATTTGAATATGGGCCGGAATCTACAATTTGATTTCAACCAAAAATATTAAACAAAATAAAATGATAACCAGTATCGAGAGAGAACTCTGCTCATTGGCATATAAATTTTTAATTTCAAACTCCGTAATTTTCTACAATGGTCATTCAGATCCGATTACAAGTCAAAAAGTTATTTTATGGTTAACAACTAATTCACCTTCTAAATTAAAATAAAAAAATTGAATTAAAGCATTTCAACCCTTCAACATTATTGTTTTCGAAAAAAGCAATACTAGGTCTACAGTCCAATATCACAACCTCCAATGTAACAGCTCATAATTGGTTAGCTCACAAATAGGTTTTACCTGCTCGTTATAGGTCCTGCATACCTATTTGCAAACTGATCAATTACGAACTACCACGTCGAAAGCTGTAAGAGAAGACGGTATGATTGGGTTATAGACCTAGTATTACTCTTTTAAAAAACTAATAATGACAATGATATCCAAAGAAACAATTATATTCTTCTTGTCCAAAGAGCAAATCTTTCCAAAACCAACAGATGGACAGCTTGTTTCGAATCATCATTTAACTCAAAAATAGATACAAAGAAGGCCATCCTCAAGTCATATTTTATTCCGCTAAGAGCAAAATGCCAAGTTCAATTATCAAATAAAATAGTGACACTCCGACGATAAACATCAAGTTTCCAATCGCCTTCAACTTACCCTAACCCTCATCGACTGTTAACAACCACAACAAAATGGNTCAGTGATGCATCAACAAAGAATAATATCTAATGAGTTAGCCATGATGTCCGGATAAACATAAGTTAGATCTTGAGCTTATAAAGACAAATAAACCTCATTAACTAATTTTGCCATCGTGATTCGTGACAGAGGCAACCTTAACACCCACGTATGGATTCCTTGTAGGATTGTTTTGTTGTTGTTTAATGTTTTTGTTGCAATATTGGTAACTTGAGGTGTATCCATGTTTTCAACTAGGGATGAACAAAAAAGGGACCGGCCCGGGATTCGACTGGCCCAACACTAGTCGGAACTATTTATGTTACCTCCTGTTATGCACGGGAAAATGAAGAGCTGACGTGGAAGGAGTCGCGTCAGGAGTAACCTGCCCCCGTCAGGACAATGTGCGCACGTCAGACCTGCAAAATAAACATGGAGCTCACACGCGTCCGTCTCTCTGCAGCAAGTCACGCAAAGTCAGCTTGGAAAAAGGGAAAACGGGACGTGAAGATAGATGATATCCTGACAATCACACCAACCCGTAGATTTAATGATGATTACACGCTTCAATTCGATATAAAATGTAGAAAACCTCACCATTAAGGGGGTTGGTTCATTCATTACCCAAGGACAACTCTCTCTCTCTTGTAAAAAAGAAAGAGCAAATTACTTTCATTAACTCTTATGTACGTCAGTCCGCTTAGCGACCTAACCCACACCAACATCAATACAAAATCAGTGGACGTAGGATTTGCTACCTTAGCATCCGAACCACTTAAAAAGCCTCTTTTCATTTATTTTCATTAAACGCATCCATTGTCACGAGCATAATATACATAAAACAGTGTCACCCACGTGACAGTTGGTTGGTGCGCAAAACGAGCATCAACACCTCCCAATTTTTAACCCTAGATTATCAGGTTTATGTGAAATTTAAGAGGCTGCTTTTGTAACTCCGAAATCCACAGGAGTTTATGGAACTTCTAACCATCTGGGGCTTCTTTTTATCCCTTTAAAAATCATGGAGAATTGATGGTTGTATTGGTTATAAAGACTTGATGTAAAGCCACTGCTTTTTACTGTAGTGTCCTGCTAGTACTACAATCCAGTCAAACTCTATTTTCTGAATAGTTTATGAAAATAAATAGGGGGTTAAAATCTATGAATTCTTTTTTTTTTTTT